AAATCTATGGAGACATTGTAACTAACTATTTAGTAATACTACAAGAATATTATTTACATAATACACAACTTGTTACTATTTGCAGTCATTTTTAATACTTGTGCTACAATAGTGAATATGATGGAAAAATCATTGTGAGAATAATCAGAAATGAAAGAATTATTATTTTTCTTTGTCCTTGTGCGATTATTTTATAATTATGATTTTTGAATTTCACAAATAATATATGTGTATAATGCTATCGATATAAATATCGAAATATCATCATAAAAATGGCTAATGAGTGACCCTCACTTGGTGTTAAATCGGTTTTCGACTGAGACGATGTTTATTTGATGATTAATAGAAAACTGTAGAATGGTTTGGTTTTCCGAACCATCGTTCTCGAGATATCAAAATTTCACTAGGCTTCTCAACAAAAATCTGTGATCCTCTTTCAGATCATTTGAAAAATCGACTTTCGATTTTCTTCTTCAAACTTTGCATGAACCAAGTTCTCAATGAGATTACTTCATTGAGCAAGTTTTAACTTTACTAATATCTCCTATCCTGAGATATTCAATATTCGGAATTCTTTCATGTGTAAAAGCAAATTTTGTTCATATACAGTCCTAGACAAAAGTAGTCGTCCTTATGAGGTGCTACTATTTTATATGATATTAAGCTGATGTTTTGGGTGTATGCAGATGACAATGAACCTTGATCGCAAGCACCAACTCGCCTTTCATTAGTCTACATGTACTGGAGTTAAGATTTACACACTACTCCCTGTGAAAAACAAATTCAGCGAAAATATGTATTGAAAAAGTTTTTGTTTATCATTTTGCTATTCCACAAATTACTACCGTTTTTCTCGAGGGCTAAAGATAGTCGCATGTGTCTACTTTATTATCACCAAAGTCCGTGATACATAGACAAGATCTTAGTAATTAGCACGCTCTGAGGTAGTGAATCCATGTAGTAACTGTAACTCAACTCCATTCAATGCTGCGGCTCTAAAACTTTCAAAACAGACTTGTCGTCTCATGGTAACTTTCAACTAAAATTTTTAAATAAATTGATCAAAGTCATCATGGAAAAGATCCATCTTAGTAAAACTCAACATTTGCTCTTCAACAGATGCTCCTAATGAGAATACAATATCTCAGGTATTTCAAAGTGATTTCTAATAAAATGCGGACTCGAGATAGCTACGACTGTGGTCTTCCAAATTAGGGGTTAGACGAAAATATGCATGCCAACATAGTTGAGATAAGATGATCACAAGAGAAGGGTGATGTCTGAATTATAACTCCAGTACATGTGAGCCGATCGAGGGCCTTCTTCTTTGTTGGTATGATTCGGAAAAGTTATGTTTTGACTAATCAGATGACCGAAGTCCGAAAGAAACTCTGAAGTAGCCATTTTGAACTTCGGTACTAAGAGAATTCGATTAACGAATATCGACACGCTTTTGTATTGGATACTATTGTTTTGAATTCTGTCGCGAAAATAATCTTAATTCATTTATTCGACTAAAATATATGAGAATCCATAAAAATCTTCATCGCACCTAAAACAATTAAGGAACAATGATTAAAAATCTTATACTCAAATACCTGTATTTGATGCGAAAAGAAGTTGAGGATAGAATTATATATGGTTTAGCTATTAGTTCAAGATCAAAAAGTCAAATCTTAATGAAACATTTTCCAGGTCATATCATACGCGACTTTGTATTACATTCATTAGAATGAATGAATTTAATGAAGAGTAAATTCTGAGTCATATATGTTAGAAGATGAAACTCTTCTTTATTTACTTTTATAATTCTATTTCTTAATTAGATAGTTATGATTTAGCTTATAATGGACCATCAAATGATAGTAGAAGATAATTAATCAAAACTGGTAATATCAATCATATAAATAATGACATGTAAAAATTGTTATGGGTGTATTAAACGAAAATTAATCAGTGACTTAACAATACAGGATGTCTCATAAGTAGCACTACGATAAAAAATTCAAATAACTCCACTCCGGTTCAATCAGATGCCCTGATTTTTTTGAGCAGTGGTAGAACTTGATTCAAAATTATATTGAACACTTATTACAATTGTGTAGAATTCTATGATTGTCTCTGAAGTAGTTCAGATAACTTCGATTACAAAAGTTGTTAGATAAATTGTTGATCTATTTTTTAAATACTGACAAAAAAATACCAATGACAATTAAAAAAAACAATTAAGTACAATTAGAATTTTGTGTTTTTTCAAAATATGTCTCAATAATTTATTTCTGACATGAAGTTACTTTACTGTAAGTAAACATTTGAAAAGACCCAGAACTAATATGTGTATAAAAAAAGAGTTTCTTTGTCACTCAACTTATTAAAGTTGTATATTAAGGTCATTTTTAACTCAATATTTCTATGAATGATGAATTATAATAGGCTAAAATTCAAAAGAATCAAAAGTTATTTTCTTTTAAATTCAATTCTTTTTTAAGCCTACATTTTAAACGTAATACATTTCAAACTTTCCTTTGGATATGTAAAAAAAAACCGAATAGATAGAGCATTTTTTGTAGAACGAAATTTACTTTACCAAGTAGCATATGAAAACAATTTTTAGTGTTCTGAATGGATTAACTTCTAATAAAAATACAGAAACAAGCCAAAATTGATATTGTTTATAAAAATCAGTGTTCGATTTCTTTTATACATTTTCATACGGGAAAACAAAATTAAGTCAGAAATTATAAACAAATATTTTGCAAGAAAACAAAAATTCCAATTTTTATTTTGATTTAGATCAGTTTCTAAGTAAATGATTTTTTTTTATTTTGTTCTTATTCATGTCATGTAGACCAAATAAAAACTGCTGATAAACTACTATCACGAAAATAACTAAGAGTTTTTAGATTAGTACATGCAGCATGGGTATGTGTTAATGAGGGATAGTGAAAGAATTAATAGTATTAAAGTACATATAATAATCTTTCTTTTTTTCTTTTATATCATTTGTGAGAAAATTTTATCATCATTGCTTTGACAGAAGAAAATAATAGATGTTTATCAGAAGAAAAATGTCAATTTTCTAAAAAGGATTATTAATTGCTTTTGTATTTTCAAAGAAAATCTCCTAGTAAAATTTTCTATTTTACAAAACGACTTCTAATTTCTTAATATAAATTCGATAACCTTGCATAATATTGGTCACGTGATACAAGATTGTCATTTGAAGTTTGTTTAAAAACTTCAAATCAAAATTTACTCTATCAAAATTGTGTTAGTCATATTAGTTCAGATCAATCTAAGTAGTTTATATTTTTTCATCATGTTATTATAGTAAATAAGACGTATGATTAACTTCCATTTTGTTTTCTGATATCTGTACTATGATCATCATTCTAGGCTTTGTTTTAGGCCACGTGCTTGTGCATTATTCTATATGCTATCAGATAGATCGTTACTATCGCCACCGTTATGTAGAAGTATGGTATGTTTTGCTACATATTTATGAGAACGTGATTTAATCCAATCTTTGAATATCTGAAGTATTCTCGAACAATTTTGCAACGCTTCCATAATAAAATTTTATAAAATGTATTAGTCAACACAATTTAATAGGGTCCTTTTTTTTTTGTTGTAAAAGAAATAACTTCATATATTCATCTGTATTGATTGAAAAGAAAATTATTATGTTTATTACTATTCTTAGATGAAAAACAACACATCATTTCTATTTTAATTTTGTTAAAAAAAAAGAAGTGCATCTAGCGATTGATAAATTTTTAAAACAAATGAAAAATGATAGTTCTATTGATTAGTATATTAGAGTAACAAAATCTAACGTCTTGCTCAAATAAAAATCAATTTTATTTTGACCTTGAGAATACTTGTGTTCTATAAAGACTTGAAAAACTCAATGAGCTGTTGTCGACGTTGAAATATAATATACTTCGATGTTTTTTTGGATATCGTGACGATGAAACTAGTGATTTTCACTATTCGAAAAAAAAATGTAGAAGAAGTAAAACTCTTCTCAATTATCTCGATTATGAATTGATCAAACTAGTCAGCTTATACTAGGGATTTTACCTAGATATTTTCGAAAAACAAATTTTTTAAAACTAATTATGAGTTTCAATTTAGTCAATCAATAACGACAATATTTGTGTGTCGATTTATGCAAGGCTGACTCTTTTAACTTATTTCATTCAATAGTTATAAGTATTTTACTTCAAGCTTTGAAATCAGCTAAGTTATATCGATTGGTGATGTTTCTTTGTAGATTTGAAACAATTTGATGTCGGAAGGACATGATTTAGAAAACATTCTTTCTGATATTGAAATTTTTGTACAGACTGAATCGAATATCTCAAACTGATTATAGTTTAGATTAATCAATAGTGAATTAGTCGATTTTAAAGCTTCCAGTAAAACTTTTATAAATATTGAATAAAATATTCTACAAGAGTCAGTCTTGAGTAAATTGACAGAAGAATGTTGTCATTATTTTTTCGAATGGTGAAAATGGTTGGTTACATTCTCAAGATATTCAAAACAACATCGAGTTGCATTATGTTTTCATGCTAAAAATAATACCAAAAACAATATAGAACAGATAAATAAAGCAATGGTGTGTTATGTTTATAAATAAAACATTTAATAATAACTGTTGAAAGTATTAATATATGTCTTTTTGCTATGCAAAGTTATTTTTGTTTTTTTCACAAGCATAGTTGGTTTTTTTTTGCATCTATCGTTAATTACGAATTATTCAAAATTTCTATTGGAATATTACATCCTATATATAATAAATAATCAATGGTAGAATTTATTCTGTACTATGTCCTATTTTGCCAAGTTATACTAACACATTTTGTGGTATATGGTGTTTTTTTTGTGGTTGCCCTTTGCAACAGGACAACTTAAGTGTGCGTGAGAAAAGAGAAAAAAATGTGTAAGAGAAAAAGAAAACGTATGCATATATATATATATATATACAACTATCGATGATCATTTGCAACTGTCATGCATACACAGTGTGTTCGAGTAAGAATGAAAGTAGGCGAAAGTACACCACTATAGTAAGAATGTTGTAGTAGATAAACAAGCACGTTCTCATTTAAATCGACATTCGCTTCTGAGTTGCTATTCATTCGAAATGATCATCCGAAGACTCGTTGTATTTCTTTTTCTTTTCATTCTTGCCGGCGCCAATCCAATTCATCAAAATATTAAGTAAAAACAAGACAAAGAAAGACTATTTTCTGTATTTTTTTTCTACTACACAAATCGATTTATTACAGGGGTAATGAATATCGTCAACGACGTAGTTTTACAATTACAAACTGGCAATTAGCTGATAAATTATATAAAGGTCTTTCTCAGAATGATGATCATCGAATTGAAATTGCAACAAGATTTAAACGTTCAGATATTCCACTAGAATTAAGACCTGTTGAAGGACCCATGAATATTGAACAATTGCCAGCAATGTTAGCAGCAAGATATGTTAAACGTTATCCATATTCACAACGAGATGATCCCGATATAATGTAAGTGAAAATTATTTTTCGAAATATTTTTGAACTATTTCTTCTTTTTTTTTTCATTCTAGTGGCCGATAAAAATTTTCATGTTCGTGAAATTTTATCCAAAGATAAAAGAAAAAAGAAAAAAGAAAAAAGAAACACGAAAAAAGAAAATCATGTGAAATTTTACTATATTTTAACTAGCCAGATATTATCAAATAGTTTTTTTCACCATTATACTTGTATTGTCTTGTATGAGTTTTTCGAAAGGAATGGATGATCTATCTATATATGACAAAAGTATTCATTACATGCTCTATTGTCATCAATGCTATTAAATGTCTACTTGCTGATTGTATCTTATTGATAGATAATATTTGATAGAAATGAGTATCTTTTACTAAAAATGGTTGTTTGAATTCGATAATAAGAAATTTGTATCTAATTTAAAGATTGGACTTGTTCTTCAGGTCGAGAATGTTTATCTTTCATGGCAAATCGGATGATTCATATTCAATATGGCAGAAAAACTTATCTAAAAAACTAAATACAATTATTCTAGGAATTTTATTTAAAAAACGTGAAACATGTTTCTTCTGTACGTGATTCTTTTCGGTTATGAGTACATGTATGAATAAGAGTCTGTTTTTTAATATTTACTGTTCTTAATACCTAATTATAACTGCTTTTTTTATTTTTATTATTGAAAGTTAATTCAAACGTTCTATTTGATCATTTTTTAAAGTGCAATATAATAAGGCAATAGGAGATGTGATGTATAAAAAAAACAAAGTGATATTTGTATGTAGAAAGAATTCATTTATAATTGAAAGCACATACTATTGGAGGTTATTATTCTGACATAAAATGTTTTCGATCTAAAAACATTTTTAGTGTACTATGAGAGAATGAGATTATAAATTCTATTATTTCTACTATTTCTTATAACCTTCTTTCTATTGATCTATATTATCGACAAATAGATCGAGAAATTTTATTTAATAACGAGAGAAGATCTCTAAGTGTGACTCGTCAATCGAACTGATATTTTTCTCATATGTAGGTCCCAATGAGACTATTAGAAGTCTATAAGGATTCGTCTTCATGCATTACTCGTTGCAAATTATTACAATTTTAATTATGTTTTTTTATCTGTGCCACGATATTTGTAAAAAAAAACGAATTACAAAATGTTAATCTGAAACATTGCTCATAAGTAGGTCCTGTGCATCTTATAATATTGTGAAAATTTTAGATGGAAATGATGTATTCTTCTTGAGATATTGCATATCTAAAAACAATCATGTGTCACAAGAAAAGATAAGAAAGTCTAGTGTTTTCAACACTTATAATATCTCAAGAGCAACACCTCATTTGTGTCTGAAATTTTCAGGATATTCTAAGATCCAAAATGTCTATCTATGGGAAAAATTTCAGTTCGATTGTCGAGTCACATTTGTCGATCTTCCTACGTAAGTTATAAATTTCATGAATTTACTGTTGCATTGGAAGCACTTAAACAGAGCGATGCTATATTTCAATTCATTATTTAAGGTAATCTAAATTATGACTGCTTGCTTCATTCTATGCAATATAGTTGTAACATCAAGAGTACTCTTTTTGAAATAAAATACCATGTGAATGTCACAATTATCTGTTGCATAGAGAACTGACAAATGCAGTGGATATATTGAAAGATTGTATTGATATACACAAATAAATTCGATAGATAGACTAATAGTCCAAGCAATTGCAGTCGGTAACAAATATATGAATATCTATTTCAATATTTTCTAATCTAATAAGGGATAGATAAGGATTGAAGACACCCGTAAGCCAACAAAGTTGATCACTGTCAGTCATCAGTAGGGAGAAGTTTCAAAGATTTGACACCCTCTCAATAATGGGAATTTTTTATTATTGTTATTAGTCAAAAGAGCAGAAAACAAATTAGTACTGAGAATTTGCTAACTTTTTTCAAAAATACAACTCTAACTTTCTGTAATGTGAAATGAGAAATTTTTCTTTCGCTACTCGAAAAGTAACGACTATACAATCAGAACTAGTTGATCTAAGAACTTTCTCATTTTTAGTTTGGGTGACGTGTTACAAAATTTTTACGTTTGAAGAACTTCATTTTTTAGACAATCGTCAGAAGTGTGATCATCTTCGGTGGGAAATATTTTTGAGAAGTGTTGTAATTGATATTTAATAATAGGTTAGTTTTTCGAATGAAGCAATACGAGTTAGCTGAATTTTTAATCAGTTCGCAAAAAGATTCACATCGCAAAGCAGTGCATGTTGAATAAGTGTAAGCAGTTTTCGAAGACGTAAACCTTAATTCAAAGAAATTTTGATTCATTGTGATTTTTAGAAAGCATGATTTGGACCACTAGTCGCTAATATGAATGCCTTCAGTACTACAAGTGTTGAGAATTTCTGTTTTGAAATTGATATAAAGATATTTTTCTTATTAAAAAAAAAAAGGAAATAAAATCGAGTTATTTTTAATAGTGTAAGATGCTCCTGAATTGAAAATCTTTCTTGTACTATACACAACAAAAAAAGAAATAACAATAATTCAGTCGAGAAACAATATGAATGCATCCTCCTAATCTTGATCGATTCAAAACTTCTCAGTGCATTTCTCATATTTTTTTAATGTATGTTCTCTTCATACAATAATATTGACTGAACTGTATTCTATACATAGTGCAAACACTTAAAAATCTATTGTTATTTTAAATACATAGTTGAAACCGTCCCGACTGATTATCGGTTCGGTTGACCTTTTAAAACTGACTAGTTTTTTTATTGAGTTTTAGAGCAGGAAAGCTGGTCTATTTTGCTAACTTGTCACGATTTCCATGGTTTTAATGATCAAGAGATATGAGTCTAGAAGTTTCTAACTGACAAATTTCTAGTCGTCGTCAAAGTCTCAGCTCTAAATATTGACTTAAAACTTTCTCATCGTACGATGAGAGCCTTAGACCATGGTGAATGAATTTATTATGCCCATGAAAAATGAATCAAGTATTAGAGGTTAATTCTAGTCTAAACTAAAGATTTTTCATCTTAAAATTTTCAGCTCACTTTTCTGGACTACTTTCAAGTGACTCTCATAAAATCATCATAGCTAGTAGTTTTCAGTTCATGCTTTCACTACAAAATATCAGAAAGGATTCTGTTCTATTGTCATCCTTTTATGAATTGAGATGTCTTTCAATTCTATTAAATAATTATCTCACATAAGAATAGATCAAACTTATCAATTGTAAAGAAATCATATCATTACTGAAAAAAGCCAGACAAAGCATTGTATAGATGCTAGTTACTGTGAGTTACTAGATGAAATATTTTGAAAGAAACCTTCGTTCGTTCTCAATGTTAATATTTATAAAACGTGACGGATTAAAATAGAGGTTGTTACTATTAGAAATTCGAAGAGTTATATGAGTTTTACATTGTATGTCTTTGTAGAACTGAAGTATTAGACCGTTTCTCGAAAGAACTGCTTAATTCATTCATACATTAAATGTGCCGACCGACTCCAAGTACGACGTCAGACAACGATTTTTTTACACCCCATTCACTAAAGTTTCAAGGGTCAGACTAACCGCGGTCATCGGCGTAGCTGTGTGCATTCTAGTAGATAAACATAAGATAGTCGGAAAAGAAGAATTATATTCAATTAGAATTATCCTAAATAATAGACAGAGTACTAAGACCTGCATACTTTTAAGAACTAATAATACTGTGTCTCGATAATAAGCATTCATTGTGTGTATTGATTATTCTAGATGTCACATATGTACAATTATAATTTAGGAAAACATGAAAGTAAACTTTAATGTTTCGCTATCAATCTTTTGTAAATATTTTCATTTAATTTATCTATTTAAATTGCTTTTGTAATTGCAATTTAATAACGACATTGATTTTAATCGGCTTGAAGGTAAAAGAAAAAGAACGGAAACTTCATCAAATGTAAAATGAAAGATTCATGTTATCGTAATCCTATGGCACTAAACAAACTTATGTAATTCATTTTATAAGAACACGGTGGTAGGATGAGTTACCGTTAAGATAGACAATAGAAGAAAATCAACCATAGAAGTTTTATTAATATTTCTTTGTTTTGATTTGTAAATACCCAAGTAATGTCTGATAGTTTCTTTTCCTTTGATATATCATCTCAAAGAAGTTTATTTATTACTTAGAATACGAGAGATTTAGACTTATTTAGGAATTGAAACATTTGTTAAGTCCACAATTGTTTTGAAATACTTTGATATGAAGCCTTTTGGAATTCTGTCTCGTTCTCTGCTACATAGTAAACAAAATGATTAATCATCCAAAAACTTTACCAAGATCAAACTAAAATAAATCTTTTCGAAATACATAATCTCTATAAATTAAATTTAAGTAATTCATAAATTCATTTCTATATTTTTCTGTCACATAAGTAAACAGAACACTTATTATGAATTTTTCTTTCTTTTATATGTATATATCGCACTGACATATAATCATAGTCAAAGTATGAACATTTCAAAATTGAGTTTTTTTATATTTGTTGGCATTTAGAATTTAATTGCATCTTATTGATAGATATTTTTGATCGCGCGGAGGAAAAAAAAGATTGGTTGCGCTCGTTTATGACTGGCCAAAAAGGGAAACAAACGGGAGTAAAGCATTTTGACAGATGATCTATTTCCTTCCTTTTCTCTTTTTTTGCCGTCCTCGACTGTTCGCTGTCTTAGTATGTTCATACCTCTATTTTACTTGTTTCTCAATGCCACAAGGTCATACTATTATTATTATTGTTGTTGATCATTTTATCCTATTTTTTTTAAGAACGTAGATGTCATGAATGAAACTATTGAAGAAAATAAAGTTGATCTTCCTCCACCACCAATACCAAATGTTATCGAAGATTCAATTGCATCACGTACAAAAGAAATTACTAAAAGACCAAAACGTGAACGTAGTCCAAGTAAATAAAATTGATAATTTTTTTTTTAATGTTCTTATTATCCTAATTATCGATTTATTTAGCTCTACAAATTCAACCACCTGCACCAAAGATAAAAAAA